TTCCCTTGAGACTTTCATCCTCCTTAAGAGCACTGGGGCTCTCAGACTGGAGGTGGGACAGTACTACAGTGTCCCGGAAAGTCTCATCAACATAGCTCTCTACCTCCCTTAGCTCTTCCAGTTCAGCCACCCTGGCCTCCAAAGCCCGAACTCGGTCTCTGAGGGTCAGGAGCTCCTTGCAACAGGTGCACACATACGCTACCCGCCCACAGGGCAGGTAATCATACATGTTACGCTCGACGCAATAAACAGGATAGCCCCCACTCTGCTGCTGGGCTTCTGTCTCCATTTTTCTAATGAATAAGTTTAAGTATAAACTGGGATTCTTTTTAAACCTCTGGAGTAGAGATTATTTTAAGAGTTATGTTTTAAAGAAGGTCAGAAGTCACTAGTGCCCTCTAAACTCCCTCTCCAAACTCTCCTGTTAGCTGTTCCTGGTCACTGAGTCACAGGCTTATATAGCTCTGGTAGCCCCTCCCCCTGACTGAGGCTCAGCCAATTAACAGAGGCTTCTAGATTTCAAACCTTTTAGAAGCTCCTTCAAACAAACAAAGCAAACAAACAAACAAACCAAACAGAAACACAAGCTCAGCACACTGCAAATAACTCCCCCACACACAAACACACATTCCAGACAGCCACTTACCACAAGGGTCCCGTTTTTACTCCTCTTTTACCTGGATGATTTGGTCCATTCTCTCTGTCTTTCCATATGGTCCAAGATATGGGTAAGACCCATAGTAGGCTGTGGCAAACCATTTCTCTGTTTCTCTTGTTGCAGCATTGGAATCAGACGTGGTATACAGGTAACCCACACTTTACACAGTGCTTCCAGAATACAGTCATTGCCTGGATACCCTGTGCCTATCTTTGGATCTGTTTTCCATTCTATTACCTGTATCTTGAGCACCACAGCAGAGGATATATCAGAATGTCGCACCTCTTCAAAACTAAAATGGTAATGCTCATAGAAATAATACCTAACTATGAATTCTAGTACTTTTCATCTGTAGCTCTCAAAGCACTTTGCAAAGGGGGCAATATCGTAATTTCCATTTTACAGATGGGGAAACTAAGGTACAGAATGGTAAAGGAAATTGACCTAGCTCATTAAGTAAGCCAGTGCAAAGTCAGATCTCCTGAGCCCCTGTCTGGTGTTTACTCCACTAGAGTCACGCTGGCTAGTATTGGAGCCTGGGTTTTGATGCTAAGTTTATCATGACTAGGATGAAGAAATTTATTTTTTAAAATTCTTAAAATTGTCTTGATAATTTCCTTTGAATCCCCCCAGTCTTCCTTCTGCTTGGAGGTTAGTAACACATGTCTGCGTAGGTTACATTGCTTTTGTCTGAATGGGGATCTCCCGTATAAAGTGCCAGATCGCTTCTTAATTGGGCAAGCTCACTTCTGGCCAAGGAGTGAGTAAGGATTTCAGGATCTGGCTTAAATGGAATTACAGTCTTTATAGCACACTCTATCTTAACCTGTCCCTACTTCCTGAACTCCTAATCACACTGGCTATGTCTACACTACAGACTTTTTTCATAAAAATATCTGTTTTCTGAAAAAAACTCACATCCACACTGCAGTCGCATACTTTCAAAAAAAATAGAAAGAACAAAGGGGTTTTTTCTGACATTGGTAAACCTCTTTCTATCAGAAATCAGAGGGGTAGCCGTGTTAGTCTGAATCTGCAAAAGCGACGAGGAGTCCTGTGGCACCTTATAGACTAACTGAAGTGTAGGAGCATAAGCTTTCGTGGGCAAAGACCCACTTCGTCAGATGCATGTAGTGGAAATTTCCACTACATGCATCTGACGAAGTGGGTCTTTGCCCACGAAAGCTTATGCTCCTACACTTCAGTTAGTCTATAAGGTGCCACAGGACTCCTCATCGCTAATGTAACCTTGTATCCAATAAAAAACTTAGTGGTTACAGATTGCGGGTTCTGCAGAAGGGCTGGCAGCCGGGAGGTGGTGTGTGACGGAAGCTGGCTTATGCTGGCCCCGCTTCTGGGGATCAGAAAGAAGCCTTTTTTCAAGAGAGCTTTTTCGGAAAAAGGTGTATGTGGACAAGGAAGAGGGAGTTCTTTCAAAAGAAGAGGAAAGAGGAAAAAGCACAGGTGCCTTGGTGGCCACTCCATCCATAGTAATCACAGCTTAAATGTGAGATAATGTCTATTTAACGTGAATGCTATCTTTCAAAGATTGCTTTTTCGATGTGCTTTGGCAGTGTGGACGCTCTCTTTTGGAACACGTATTTTTGGAAGATCTCTTCTGGAAAAGCTTCTTCCAAAGGAAGTGTGCAGTCTAGATGTAGCCACTATGTCCCAAACCGCCCCTTTAACCACTCAGATACCTTACAGTACATACACTACTGTTATCGTACTTGTCCTTAAACAATCTATTCCAACATGTTTGTTCTCCTGTTCCAGGTACTTGGATTCATATTGATATTACTGTGTTTTTCTAACCTCTTCTACACTTTTTGGGAAATCAGTCAAGGAATCCTGCGAGCTCCAGTGTTCTTCATTAGCCCAGCAATTGTGGGGATCACAATGGTAATTCCTTTTATTAAAATATAAGTTTCAAGTTCACTATTATGGGGCAGTGTTAATCTTAGCCCTCTTTCCCCTCATCATCTGTGGGTGCAGATGACTCTGTAGACCCATGGTCACCAACCCATCAATCGCGATTGACTGGCCAATCAGGAGGGCTCGACCAGTTGATCGCGAGGCATTCAGGCCCCCCCCCCCCCCACTTCCCCCCCAAGAGCGACAATGGAGGTAGTGCCTGCTTCCTGTGGGGTGGAGGGAAGTCTGGCAGCTGCGTGCCACTTCTGGGGTTTCAGGAAGTGCACTGGCTGCTCCCCCTCTCCCAAACAGCCGGCACGGTACCAGAACCCAGGTCTGTGTTGTGCCGGGGACTTGCTGTGCAGGGGGAGAAGGTGGGAATCCCCAGAAATGGCACGCGCCGGGGCTTCCCTCCTCTGCTGGGGGGGAGGGTGGAGAATGGTGGGGAGGAGTCCCTGGAGGAAGTACACGCTAGGGACTTCCTACATGGGGGGAGGTGGGAGGAGTCCCCAGAGGAGGTGCATGCCTGGACGTCCTTCCCCTGTGGGGAGGCAGGGGGTAGGAGTCCTGGGAGGAGGTGCATGCTGGGGACTCCCTGTGCCCTGCCCCCACCAATACCCTGTCCCTGTCACAGCACCCTGTCCTCTGCCCCGACTGGCACCCTGTATCCTGCCCCCAATAGCACCCTGTCCTCTGCCACAGCACCCTGTCCCCTGCCACAACACCCACTAGCACCCTTCCCCACTACCATGTTCCAATCATCCACCAGCACAGTTGGGGCCACAGTGAGGCTTGGAGGGTTTTGGAGGAGTTATTTTTTTGTACCTCACTTGTGTGGCCCCAACTGACTTCTCTGTGGGTCAATGACCCCAACTCAAAACAGGTTCCCCTCCCTTCTCATAAATAAAGAGAATGCTGAAACTTTTTGTGTTTGACATAGTATTTTATTTAAAAATGAAGCCTGGGCAACAAACACCTAATTGGGGCCAAGCTCCCATCTTGCCACAGCATCATAACACTCCTGTACCGCCCTTCAACCCCAAATCTGAGCCTATCATACACTGGAACCCCCTGTCCTGACCCTCTCACATCCCCAAACTCCTGCACCCCCACATCCTCAGTCTTCTGCCACAACACTTCTGCACTCTCCATACATCACAAATCTGTGTCCTGAGCCCATCATACTCCCAACCTCCCTGCCCTGAGCCCTTCACATACCCCAACCCAAACTCCTGCACCCTCATATCCACAAGTCTGTGGCTTGCTCATTACCCCAACCCTACACCTGACCCCAACACTCCCCAACCTGGAGCTCCCTCCCCAAGCCAGCATCACCTTTTCCACATCCTCCTGCATCCAAATTCCCTCCCAGAGCTTGCACCGCACACTCCTTCCCACACCCAAATCCCTCATTCCCACTCCAGAGCCCACACATCCTGTCTCAACCCAGTGAGGGTATGGCTAGACTACAGGAGTTTTCCCGGGATTTTAGAGGTATCCTGGAAAAACGCTTCTGCGTCTGCTTTTTTTAGCGGAAGAGCAAACTCGCTCTTTCGGCAACCGCTGTATTCCCCATTTCACAAGGAATAAGGGGGCTTCTGAAAGAAGGGGTTTTTCTGACATTTGGCCCAGATGTTGGAAAAATGTTGGCCAAATGGAATGGAAAAACATGGAGAAACAGGCCAAATGTTGGAAAAATCTCTTCCTACAAAGAATCAGAAAAAAAGCGGCAATGTAGCAGTACACTGAGAGTGTATAAGAGCTGGGGATAGCAAGTGATGGAGAGAAGGAGAACAGAGAGTGCGGGACTTCAGGGGGTGGGTTCTTGGGAGAAGGATGGGGCAGTAGATCTTGGCTTGTTCTGACATTTAAAAAGTGACCTTGGGCGTAAAAAGTTTAGAGACCACTGCTGTAGACAGCAGAACTGATGGGGTTCTACCGGTGTGTCTGTGTCTGTAAAAACCTGTTCGCTGTGGAGCTGCGCTCTGTGAGACTTCATCCGTGGTGCTGCATGAAGGGGTAGCAGGCCTGAGCTGGCACAGTGGTGTGGCCACTCAGTCTGCACCTGTATGGATCTACTGACCCAAAACACGATGCGGGAATGGATGCAGCAGAGGCTATGAAACCCGGTGGGACTACAGTAATGACCGCAGTGTGGCCTCATGCAAACAGGAGAGAGGATTCCATTTCTCACAGCCTACACATGGTAGAATTAAATTTCACCTTAACGGGAACACTAGGTAGGCTCATTAACTGATCTGACACTGGATGAAAAACTGTATTGACCATTAACTTGGAACTATTAGTTATTTCTCTCTTCTTCCCAGATCCCTGCAGTGTTTCTCACCCAGTTTGAGAGGCTGAAGGGTGTCCAGTCATCAGGCATCTTGATGATTTATTGGCTGCTGTCATTCCTTGCTGCTGCTGTGACTCTTAGTTCTAAAATTCAACAAGCCCTGGCAGGGGTAAGCAGAACGTACTAATGTGAGCATGTGCCACTGGTAAGGTCTCCTGTGTAGTCAGGCTTTGCCAGCAGAAGAGAGCTCTCCTGCTAGAAAAATAAAGCCATCCCCAGTGAGAAGCTTTGTCAAGAACGAAAGAGGCAGTAGGCTGAATTGCCCTCTCCAAGTTGCTGCGCTGAATTAGGGTGGAGGAGCATTGGCCAGGCAATTTGAAAGAAATGTTGACGGCTGCTACCCATGCTGCATCGGTTCTATAGCGCTACGCCTACACTGCAGTGCTATAGCTATACCTCGTCTTTTGAGCGCGCCTATTATTGCAAAATAACGACATCCCTGTAAACCTCACTCCAGGAGAAGTAAGAGACATTTTGGAATAGCGATTTATTTCAAAATAAGTATTGTGAAGACAGTGCCAAATTTCAAAATAAGCTGTTTTGAGATAACATCGAAATAAGATACGCACCCTAGGTAAAAAGAGCCCTTGAATCTCCAGGACCCATAGCTTTTCTGAGCACCCAATTCATACAAAAGGGGGGGGGGGGGGAAGTGCTGTTTTAATTTTAGTGCTGTTACTAAGGCCTGGTCTACACATAAATTTTGTATCATTATAACTGTTAATTGGGGCATGGATTTTTACCAGCATAGTAATTCCTGTATATCTGTAGGGTGGACAGTTTTACTAGTATAAAAGTGCGTTATGCTGTTAACGCTTATTCCCTTTCCCATATAGGAATTAGGGATGTAAAATCCCATTGAATTGGTTAACTAGTTAAATGTATTGCTTCAGAGGTGAGGAACCTGAGGCCCGGGGACTGGATGCGGCCCCTGGCTTGCCTGGATCTGGCCCCCGAGGCTCAGGGGACCCCAACATTGGGGAGCTCACGCTGGGGCTCCAGCCCCCACAGCACCCCACCATGAGTCTGGAATTCATAAAGTCTGCTAGGCTGAGCCCCCCTAGGGGAATGTGAGGAGTGTCTTTCTTCTTCTCAGTCGGTGCCACATCAGTGAGGGTTTGGCTTTTTTTGTTTGTTTCTCACTTGTGTGTGTAGATTTCAGCATCTAGCTCTTTTAGGATCTTTGGAAAATCCCATAAGAACAACCATACTGGGTCAGACCAAAGGTCCATCTAGCCCAGCATCCTGACCTCTGAGAGTGGCCAATGCCAAATGCTCCAGAGGAAATGAACAGAGCAGTAATCATCAAGTGATTCCTCCCCATCACCCATTCCAAAACTCTGACAAACAGAGGCTAAGGGCACCATTTCTGCCCTCCTGACTAATAGCCATTGATGGACCTATCCTCCATGAATTTACCTACTTCTTTTTTTGAACTCTGTTAAAGTCCTGGTCATCACAACATCCTCTGGCAAGGAGTTTCACAGGTTGACTCTGTATTGTGTGAAGAAATACTGCAGAAACTGAAATTTTTAACTCCCAGTTAACGGGGTTGCCAAGCATAGACTTGCCGGGGCCCAGTACCAAAGCAAAAGAGGGCTTCAGCCCCAGCTGGCAGGGCTCAGTTAGGGCTGGGGTAGGTGGGGTCAGGCTGCCTCAGACTACGGTCCCTCCTCTTGGGTCGTATAGTAATTTTTGTTGTGAGACAGGGTCACTATGCAATGAAGTTTGAGAACCCCTGCTCTAAACTAGTTGCGCTCTGGCTCCCCCCAGTGGTTTATTAGTGCATGTGTTGTGATTTTCATATAGCTTGAGATTTCTATATCAGCACCAGTAATTTAACTCCTATATAGCACACTCTCTAAGAAGTTGATGCAAGAAATGCACTTGGCACACATCCACAGCAACACTCAGAGCTTACGGCTTATACAGTGTATGAATCCTCATTTCTTTCGTTATTTCAGATGAAGTGTTTTACCTCAACTTTAGCAAGTCTCTGTTTTTGCAGGGCTTCCCAGAGGACCCCTTCCGTCATGTCACCTCTTACATTTATTTTATCCTGCTGCTAGTAGAGATCGTACTGTTCTTCTTTACAGATTGGCCTCCCTTCTTCTCAAAAGTTGTCAAGGACTCTGTAAGTATGTTTAACTTCTTAAAAGTTCATTCATCCTTTGTCTGAAACCCACTAGAAATGGGCAGTGAAGATCAATGTCTGAGATGAAAACATGGCAGCCTACATACAGGCCAGCATCTTATACAGTGATTAGCAATTTGGTATACCTGGGTTTCTGGGCCCCATCTTGATTTTCATTGTTTCCTAGATTAGGGAACCTATGATCATCTAGTACAGTGGTCCCCAAAGCGGTGCCCGCGGGCACCAGCCCCGGGGCACATGCGGGCGCGCGGCGCCGGTGCCAGCCCCAGGCGCGCGGCTCGGGCGGTGGCGCCAGCCCCAGACCCACGGTACAAGGCACTCGGGCAGCCCCAGCCCTGGGGCACATGCCGGTGCGCTTGGGCAGCCCCGGCCCTGGGGCACATGCCGGCGCCAGATGCAAGGGCATCCCCGCCCCTGGCGTGCCCCAGGACGCGCGGCCCTGCCCCCAGGCGCCCGGCACGTGAGTGGCCCCGCCCCCAGGCGCCCAGGAGCCTCTAAAGGTTGGGGACCACTGATCTAGTATAACCTCTTATATTGCACTAAGAAAAGGACCTCCCTAAATTAATGCCTGTTTGAACAAGAATGTATCATTTAGAGAAACATCCAACCTTCGTTTTAAAATTTCCATTGATGGAGCATCCCCCACCACCCTTGGTTATGAGTCCCACTGGTTAATTACCCTCTCAGTTAAAAATCTATACCTCAGATCTAGTCTAGATTTGTCTAGCTTGAACTTCCAGCCTTGGACAGCTCTAGCTCCCACTGACTTCAACTGGCATTGCAGGTGCTCTGCCACTCTGAGACCAGTTAGTGAGGCAATTAAAAACATTATTTGATATAAAAAGGTCCCTTGGAAGCCTTCTTTAATAGAAATGGGCCTCAAAGTGTTATTCCTTCTAGCACCATATTTTATGTACTGTAGAGAAACACATACACACACAAAAATAAGGATGTTTGACAGTGAAAACTAAGTGACATTGACCAATCCTACAGACCCACATATGAGGTGAATGGATCAGAATAGAGGCAGTCATCTAGAAATAACAGCTGTCACTTAACGTGCAAAATTAGATTTAAATGGCAAATTGAGGCATACTCCATGTTATTTTCACTGCCTTGCTCAGGAAGATCTGAGATGAAAGGGAGAGATGTAAGTGGCTCTCTCCAAAGGGAGAATACAGAAAGTCACTCCCTGAAATAATTGGTCCTAAGAATCAAGTGTATTTATTTAACTTTCTCACATTTTGCCTAGTACAGAAAAAAAATCTGAGAAAAGAATTTGTAGTGCAAATGAGCAGACAGAATATATAAACAGTACCATAGAACCATGTCTCTGCCTGTGTTGAACTGGGCATATTGATGCTTTCTAGGTACATTCTGGAAAACGTTTGACCTATCCCAATCCACACACATTACTTCCATTTTCATTGCAGTTACCATACAATGCTGACATTTGCAACTTGCATTCAAACAAGTCTCAGCCCAACTCCTACATGAAATAAGTGTTTGGAGGTCATAGTAGGAAGTAAAGGGCACCCTGTGCTCTCAGATCAGGCCCTATTCAGATTTGGATTAGTAAAGATCTGCTGCTTGTAGCAGTTGTGGTCTTAGTTTGTTAACATAAGCAAATTGCATGTCATTTCTTGGGTGGGAGGGGAACCAGGGTATTGCGTGTAAGCAGTACATGGCTATTTCTACATATGAAACTTGTCTGTTTTTCCTCTTGCAGAATCCGTGTCCAGAACTTGGTGCCTCTTTTGTTTCCAAAATCACTTTCTGGTGGTTCTCTGGGTAAGAAAACAAGCAGGAAGAGACATTTACTCCAAAATATCAGATAAGCTCCATCAGCCTAAGGCAGAAGGGCCTCTCTCTTTCTAGGCAACTAGCTCCTTTTGAATTGAACAGGAGACAGTGGTCTAAATATACTTGAGGAGATGAGGTGTAAGAGACACTGGCAAAGCTGATAAGCTTAGAGCTCCTAGCAACGAGTCCAGTTCTTTCCTCAGACACCTGCATGCTACTCCCTGTGGCTCAAGTGTTCTCTGAGTTACACTAGCGCAGTAGAGGCCTGTTTCACATCCAGATTTGAAAAGGACTTGAGTGTAGAATAAGGCCATGTAATTTTGGGGTTTTTTTGACACTTGGAAAATCCAGCCAGTCTTCAAAATGATCACTGCAACCCTGCTCACATCTCTGCCTTCTGCCAGGAGGAGAACCTTTTACAATCTCTACAGGGTACCAAGGTTGCTGGAGATCATGAAGTTGCACCTGCTGCTTAGTTTTCATAAGCAAATAGGGTTACCAGGTAGTCACAAAAAAAATACCGGACACGCTTCATGGGCGGGGAGGGGGAGGGACCAGCCAAGACGGGAGCGGTGCTGGCTGGGAGGAGAAGGGAGCGACAGGAAAACATAGCTAATGGGGGGGGGGTCAGAATGGGGCTGGCTGGTGGAGATGGGGGGGCCGACGGGAAGCAGGGCTGGTCGGTGCGGGGGAGGGGGGATGGGGTGGAACGGAGCTGGCCGGGGGATATCAGCAGTGAGGAGAGGGGCCGGTTGGGGGTGGAGCTGGCCGGGGGAGCTCAGGAGGAGGAGGAGGAGGTGAGAACTGGCCACCGGAAGCAGGGTGGTGGAGTGTGCAGTGGGGCTGGCCAGGGAAGATCCATAGCAGGAACCAGCCAGGGGGAGGCAGAGCTGGGGGAAGGGGGGAAGGAGGGACTGGCCAGGGAAGACCGGGAGGAGAAGTCGGGGAGAATCAACCAACTGGCTGGCTAGGAGGGGCGGGGGAGGGAATCAGCTGGCGGGGAGCAGGACTGACCGGGGCTGTGCAGATCTCAGGGCGCTCCCATCCCATGCGAGTCAGTCTGGCTGCGGCTCCACCATGCACTTGACCAGGGTGCAGGAGCATGGACCGGGCTGCCCCTTCTCCTCACACGCAACCAGGGCTCCCAGAGTCGATCGCGCCCCACCTCCCAGTCCCTCCTCCCGCCCCTGCCAGGCTTCCATCCAGCGCCCAGCCGGGAAACCAGGAAATGCCGGACATTGCACATGTCCGGTATTTTCTGGTTTTTTTTTTTACCGGGCAGAGGGCCCAAAAACCAGACTGTCTGGTAGAAAACCAGACACCTGGCAACCCTATGAGCAAAGTGGTTCCTGAGATTTTCAAATATCTTTATAAATGTTAACTCTTGGCCTGTTTTGTGGGGAAGGCAGCAAGCAACACAGGCAGAATGGAAGGATGGTGCCTGGTCCATGCATACAATGGGGCTGACTCTCAGTTGTGCCAAAGCCCTGTCTCTGTTTCACAGGAGTTATAGGAAGAATGCAAGTTTGAACAACCTCAGTGCTGTTCTAATTTACGATGGAGGGGCAAGGCACCCTTCCCCATCTTTCTATCCCTGTCTCAAGCACAGGAGTGGAGTAACTGAGAATTAGGCTCAACATGTAGGACTAATTTAAGGCCTATCAAGTTGGAACATTTTTCTTGGCCACAGATCCCTCTGTGCTTGTGTGTTAGTTGTTTGTTTGTTTTACAGGCTAGTTTGGAAAGGCTATTGGCAGCCATTAGAAGCAGATGACTTATGGTCACTGATGAAAGAAAATTCCTCTGAGGAAATTGTTTCACAGTTTGAAAGAGAATGGAATAAATACTGTAACAGAACCAAGCAGTAAGTACAGGCCTTCCAACGGGGGGAGGGAAGGAAAGGGTGCGTCTGCCCCAGTGATATAAAAGGGCCCAGAGCCAGGACTGGATTCTGACCTTTAGAGGCCCTAAGCACTGAAAAGATTATGGTGTAATATGTAATTGAAAATAAAAACAATACTATACCGTAAAATAAAATTTTATTTTTCGAAATGACACAAAACGTACATGTATGCTGAAATTAAAATAGCTTCTTTCTAGATTTTCTGATTGCAAAATTCTGGAAAAGTTCATCGAAGCTGACTCGACGAAGCATGTCCGCTTCCATACACAATAGGGAAAATGAATCAAGTCTGTCCTGACATATTGTTGTTCTCTGAGGGTTTTTTATTCTTTTCAGCTGAGAAAAAGAGCGTTCTGCGGAGTTCTGATTTTTCCCATGATGACTACTTTGATGCCATCACAGATATCAAATATCACAGATATCTCTGTTTTTGGTGCCCCTGCTTTGCTGGTGCCCTAAGCATGTGCTTAGTTTGCCTATTGGGTAATCCAGCCCTGCCCAAAGCACCTACTGCCCTGGGCCTTTTAAATGGCTGCCCAAGCCCCAGGCAGCACTGAGGGCTACCCAGGGGAGCCATGTGCTCTCTGGGTAGCACTGCAGCCCCACTCCGTCCCTTCTTTGGGTGCAGAGCAGGACCTACCCCCTACCTTACCCAGGCGCCCGGCGAGGCTGTTGGCTCTGCTGAGTAAGTCCCTGTTCCAGAGGATGGGAGAGTCTCTTCTAGCCAGTGCAGAGCTAACATGTTCCGCAGCCCAGGCTAACACAGCCCCTTTTGACACCATCTGGTTCTCAGATCCTGGGATTGATAGGGCCATATCCTCGATGTCTGGGCTCAGCCTACGTGAGGGACTGTGCGCTGGAGATCACCATGGGGGCTGAATACTCCCAACCAGGCATTAAGGAAGCTGCATTGCTGCTGTTTCTGCAGCTGCGGAGCTGAAGCAGCCCTGGGCCATCGTGATCCCTATCTGCACAGGAGACTGGCCAGTGGAGTCAGTCATTCAACCCTCATCTCATTCAACTAGTGGGAGGGGTATGCTGCAGATGGAACACTCAGCAAGGAGAACTTAATGGAGTTTCCCTTCCTATGGGCTCTCCGCTGCAGGGTGTGCTGCTGGCTATTTATTATTTAGGTCCTAAAACTGCCCTTACCTGTATTGAAATCCAGTGCAGAATGTGTGTTAATGTCCAAATATCCAGAACTGCTTTGGGGCATCGACTATCTTTTTGTTCTATGTTTTTACAGGGCTCCTGTTCCATGTCTGGGGCTTTTAGGTGCTTCCGCACTACAAATAAATAACTCACCATTCAGGCCCCTTGTAAAGCCCCAATCCCAAGTGTGGGATATTTATAGTGCTGTTGGATGCACAAGTCCAACTCTTCAGGCCTTCTCTAGCTTGCAGGCAATTTTCTTTGTGTTTATTTCTTTAGAAACACAGAATCCATCAAATATAAGAAGGATCAACAAAGCAGAACTGGTCTGGCCAAGACAGAAGAGGTGCAGGTTCTTCTGCAGCCAGAACAAAGTCAGAGTGAGCCACTGTTGAAAGCATTTTGGAGCATGTTTGGAACCTACTTCCTTCTTGGTACCCTCAGCTTAATCATCTGTGATGTCTTCTTGTTTTCTGTCCCCAAGATACTGAGGTACACGCACAATCAGGAATGACTGTCTAGAAGGATTTACAGGTGGGACCTCCCTGGTTTGGCACCCTCAGGACCTGAACCACAAAGTTTGCTGGACCAGAGGAGGTCAAGGCTCCCCACCCAGCTGTAGGCTCTGCTCCCAGCTGGGATTGCACTCCCTGCTGCCAGCTCTGGTTGGGGCTGTGCTGCCCATGACGCCGGCCTGGGCTGCATGCCCAGCCGCCAGTCCCACTGCCTCTAATCCTGGCCAAAGGTTGCATTCTCCACCATCCGCCCCAGCCGGTGCTGCACTCCCCACTGTACCAGTTCTGCCCAGGGTTGCGCTCCTGGCTGCTGGCCCACTGCCTCCTACCCCAGCTCGGGCTGCACTCCCCTCTGCCAGCCCCAGCTGGGGCTGCACTTCTCCACTGTCAGCCTGGCCCAGGCTGAGCTTCTGAACCTGGCCAGTTGGGGCTTGCCGGTCCAGCAATACCCATGGTCCTGCTAAGGGAATAGATCATGTTACACTGGAAATGCACCGTACTTTGCTGGGAAAGTGCTAAGCTAGGACAGCTGTGCCCCAGCATGAGAAGGAGCAGTTGAATGTTCTGAGCTGCAATAAAACAAACCAAAAATTAGGTTGGGTGCTGCCATTTTACATACTAGACACTGAGCTGTTTTCGGAGCCTTCTGCTGTTATCAGGGAGGGTTACAAAGCCTGTAGCCTTGCCGTTAACAAGACCAAAACAATCCCCAGTAGGCCTCTCTAAAAATGCTTCCTTGATATAAGAACATATATTTTGTCATCTCAGTTTGCATCCATCTGTTCACCATTCTCTTATAGTCTTTTCCTGGAGTTCATTGCAGACCAAGAAGCTCCCAGCTGGAAAGGTTATTTCTATGCAATGTTACTGTTCCTATTAGCTTGCCTCCAGACTCTGTTTGAACAACGATACATGTACGTGTGCCTAATATTGGGAATGAGGCTGAAGACTGCAGTCACAGGCCTAGTATATAGAAAGGTAAGCCAGCTTTTCTCTTTGGGAGTTGCTTTTTTCCCCCCCCTCTTATCAACCACTAACATTGCTGGTGAGATGGAATTAACTATTATTCATATTTGGGGATAAGAGTTATTAAAGACCTATTCTTAGCAAATAATTCCGAGGTTATGCTGTAGGTGAAAAGCAGCTGCATAAATGTCCATGAGGGGTGGGGAAGGTATTATCCTATTTGCTGTTGTGTGGTTCGTGGAGCTGCTCTTACATCTAATAAAAGGCCTTAAGAGCAGGAGCTGAAAGCTGTGCTTTCCTGAGCAAGTGAGACATTATTTCACTTGTTGCTGGGCAGTGAATAGACTCATCTGTAGGGTGAAGTCACACGACTCTCAGGGTATGTCTAGGCTACATGGCTCTGTCGACAGAACCATGTAAACTAGTTTACCCGGCATAGGCAAAGAAGCGGGGATTTAAATAATCCCTGCTTCATTAAAATAAACATGGCTGCCGCGCTGTGCCGACGATCAGCTGATCCGGAACAGCGTGGCAGTCTAGACACGGATCTGTTGGCTGGGGATTGATCGGCAAAGGTATACAGAATCGGTCGGCAAAGGCTTCCCCAGCCAACAGATCTGCGTCGAGACTGCCGCACTGTGCCGGATCAGCTGATCGTTGGCACAGCGAGGCGGCCATGTTTATTTTAATGAAGCGGGGATTATTTAAATCCCCGCTTCTTTGCCTATGCCGGGTAAACTAGTTTACATGGTTCTGTCGACAGAGCCATGTAGCCTAGACTGTTTTCATTCTTGATACTAGAGACTAGGAGTTAGCCTCTTTAGGGGCCTGATTCTTCTTCCCTTTGACCTCAGCATGGCCCTTGGTCATTTATTTTCTGAACAAAAGCAGATTTTAACTGTTTGTGCTCTGTCTTCTCCCACCTCTTCCTCCCTCTCCTCCTCCAAGATCTTGGTCATGTCAAATGCAGCAAGAACAGAAGCAACAGTAGGAGAAATTGTCAATCTGGTATGTGTCGATGTGCAACGGTTAATGGATCTCATTATATATTTTAATGGGACCTGGCTTGCTCCCATTCGGATCATCATCTGCTTTGTCTTCCTGTGGCAGGTAAGGGCTGTTAGCTCCTGTTCACGAGCTCTAGGGTAAAGAGGAGTTGTCTAGAGTCAGATTTGAAGCTTTGCTGCCCAGAACAACCTAAAATGTCCATCTGTCTCCTTTCCCACCTATCCTTGAGCTCTGTCGTATAAACACAGACTTGTTAGTAGAATAATTTATATACCAGGATATGTTGGGAAACTCTTTTCATTGTTTGTTATTCTTCAATGGCTGTCTTGCTTTGATTCATACTTCCACTCACACAACACACAGTATTTGGCTTAATTTTAATTCCGCACAGCCTTAAAACATAACCATGCATTTAACCTGACATGTGAACTTTCCTATACTTTGTCCTGAAAGCTGATTACCAGGAAGTCAGGGAGACAGAGAGGCAATTTCATGAGAGAGGTCATTGAGGTACTGGTATGAGAAGTGTTCATTGTAAAGCTTACTTAGTAAACTAGATTTACTACATGCCAATGTTAGGATATAAACAATCCTGAATTAGTGCAAGACAGAGGTGAGTTAGAACACACAAGTGGACCTTTCCATTCCTAAATTTAACAAAGAACATACTAGATTTCTGCAAAATAAAGCCCCCAGTTTTGAATCATGAGCTTTTTAGTTTCAGCCTGTTGGGCTCACTGCTAGATGAAATAATGCACCCTGTGAAGTGGGATGATCATATTTGTAAAAAGTCAGATAGCTTTGAAGACGAGGGTCTTGAGAGGTTCTCTGTATGCCTCACTGCTGACAAGGTGTTCTTGTAAGCACCTGGAAAGACATTACAGCATTGGAAAGTGAATTAGCAATTACTGTATATCACATTGGGCTTTACCACCTTTCTGGAGATGGTGCGGCTATTGTTCTGGTTCAGGGCACATGGAGTTACTTGGGGGTTACCTGCAGATACCTGAGATAGAGACTCTGGTTCATTTCTTCATTTGGGAGTAATTAGAACTCACATGATCACAAGAGGTTGGAATAAACAGCTAGAGACAGGAGTAACGCAAGTAGGTATTGTGCAATTCTACCACCACACCTCTGCCCCAGGCCTGTAACACTGATTATCTCAGCACGGGCCTCTCTAGCACACTGAGGCTACATCTATACTGCAGCCATCTTCCACAAAAGCTTATGCAAATGAAGTGCAGAGAATAATATTGACGCACTTCATTTGCATAACTAATTAGCAGCCGTTTTTGCACAAGAGGCTTTTGCGCAAAAAGGAGCTGTGTTAATGGCTCCTTTTTGCGCAAAAACCCCCTCTTACGTAAGAGCTGTTCTTCATTTTTTCCAAGAAGAACGGCTCTTGTGCAAGTTTTGGGTTTTGTGCAAAAAGTTGCTGTCTGCACAGCTCCTTTTTGTGCAAAAGCCTCTTGTGCAAAAATGGCTGCTAATTAATTATGCAAATGAAGCACGGCCATATTCTACTCCATGCGTCATTCGCATAAACTTTCGTGGAATAAGGCTGCAATATAGACGTAGCCTGAGGTAATTTGTAAAGGGAGCAGAAATTAAATGCTAAGAATACCAAATTCATTTATAATTTGCTGTTTAAGTCAAATGTGTACCCATATTTGCAGCAATCCAAAGCTAGTGCGATAAAACATTGCTATGACCATGCAGCAGGACCTATTTCACATTGGCCCATGTGACTTTCCTAAGCCGGCCATTAGATGTCCTCATTAATTCATCCAAAACCTGCTAGAGGAAATAGCACTGAAGCCTTAGCTCTTACACATGTTCCTGGATCTCTCACAAACGTGACTTTGTTCCTGAAGGGAAATAAAAACAATTCAACAAAGTGAAAAGCATCAAGTTATGAGGCAGTCTATGAAAATAAACTCAGTGGGCCAGATCTCCACCCACATATTGGCTTCAGTGGGCTTATCCCAGGGGAAAGGAGAGGGGGATTTGCCTCTGATTCAGTACTCAGGTGTTTTGCAGCACAGTTCAGTAAAGACAATGGTCGCTCCAGGATTCTCATGGAAGTTTGAGGAAGCAGAAAGATTTATTTGTCTCACTGTCTTCATCAGGATACTGCTGAAGGCAGAGTCGTATAAAAGATGTAGGATTGTCCAAAGGGGTCTTAGAGACACAAGTCTTACATGGGAAAACAAGCAATTCACAAGTGACCAGGAAAAACTAGCATCTCTACAAATATTTCATCAATGCTTCTTGTGTTTCTACGGCAATCTCACATATTCTTTCCTGGCAGCTCCTGGGACCATCTGCCTTGACTGCAATTGCTGTATTTTTAATCCTTTTGCCTTTGAATTTTGTGATCACCAAGAAGAGGAGTCACTCTCAGGTACTTTTTGCCTCCTAAAAATGCCAAATGTTATCATTGGCATGTGGATTTCTGTGATTCCAGGTCTTGCATCCCATCATACTCACCCAGAGAGCCCAAGGATAAAGAACAAAACAAAAACAAGTGATTACATGTAGATATATTGTAATAAAATGCATTACACGGAGATGTGACTACAGGCTAGTGCAGTGTGTGTTAGCCATGCTGATCACTGCTGCTTGAAAGAGTCACAGACATTCAAAGCCTGTGGAGATTGCTTATAGATTCAGAATGAGCTCTCTCTAATGGGATTATTTTTGACAGGTTCATAGACCAACATTTTAATGTTTTTCTTCTACTAAACAATTGAATTGCCTAAAGCTACAAAAGTAAATATCCAGCATTCCAGTGCTACAAGCAAGGGGCCTGCATGTTACTTAATTACCTAGAAATCCATTCCAAATTTCCAGGTAGGTGTTCACAAAAATGGAATAGTAACATTTTCAGCATTCCTAATGACAGCCTTGATGGGCTGTTTTTATAGGAGGACCAGATGAACCATAAAGATAATCGAGTCAGACTGACCAATGCCATCCTCAGTGACATTAAGATCATCAAACTCTATGCCTGGGAGAAAGGCTTTATGGAGAAAGTGCTTGGTATCCGAAAGCAAGAGCTTCAAGCTTTAAAAAACTCTCAGATCCTCTTCTCGTTGTCACTGTCTTCCTTCCACTCGTCTACATTCCTGGTGAGCAGTTCACCCTTTTTCCCCCACACACAGCCTGTTCTTCTCTCAATACCATAGCCGGGCATGGTGCTCTATAGACAAATCCAATAGACAGAGGCTTATCTATTCACCTGATTTGGCAATGAGTTCCTTGCAGGAAGATTCCTATCCCCACACAGCACTCACGAGGGCATGAGGCTTTGTGGAAGTCCAGGGGTCCACCCATGTGGAGCTCACTGCAGTATCAAGGCCTCTGTATTTTTATAATGCACTGTTGCATTTGCTGATGCCCAGCAACATACATGATCTATAGCAGCCTCCTCTCTCAAGGGGAATGTTCATATTATTATCTCATAGTATTTACACTACTGTAATGATCTCAAAAGCACTGTAAGTGGCATATAATCAGAGCACCTGCATTGTCACCAGATTATAAAAGCTTTGCTTCTAGAACTCACAAGATAGTGTAAATGGATTTGGCTGATTCTACTGGGGTTTTTCAAAATGAGTCCTGGTCAAATGATGCACAATCTGAGCATCACTTTGCCTGCCTGTAAACAATAATTTGCTTTCCCTTTTCTCCCTTGCAGATTTCATTTGTTATGTTTGCAGTCTACACCCTGGTGAACGAGCAGCATGTCCTAGATGCTCAGAAAGCCTTTGTTTCTTTGACACTAATCACTCTCTCTTTCCTGCCATTTTCCATCCATGCTGCTATACAGGTTAGTTGCAGACTGTGCTCTCATTTGCTTGGTCATTACTTTCTTTTGCACCTCACTGTTCCAAGGTGAAAGTTGGGTTTCTTAAGGACCTGCAAGCTCCTAGATTAGCTCATGTGGGAAGACGTTGAGAATTGGGGAATGTAGCAATAGGGCATGCAGCCATCCAGGTGCATGGAGCTTTCTGGGTCCTGCTGTGCAGTCTGTTCCATAGAGCATTGAATGGGTTAGTAAGAGCAGTTTTTTCAGCCTGTTTGGGTTGTTACTGATTTAGGTTATAGGCCAAGTTAACCTCCCTTGATCTGAGGCATCAGAGTTGGGATCAGCATGGAGAGGCTACATCACATTCTCTCTCTTTTTAGTCCCAATATCTTTGTCTTCATTCCTCCCTGCTGGGGATAACAACTCTGCAAACAAATATTCATCCACATGGCACAACAAGGATGTGCTAAATCCTGCTGGAAAGGGATAACAAGTGGAGTTCCGCAAGGGTCTGTTTTGGGACCCGTACTGTTCAATATCTTCATCAATGATGTAGATATTGGGATAGAGAGTACGCTTATTAAGTTTGCAGATGACACCAAACTGGGTGGGGTTGCAACTTCTTTGGAGGATAGGGACATAATTCAAAATGACCTTAGCAAGTTAGAGAAATGGTCAGAGGTAAACAGGATGAGGTTTAATAAAGAGAAATGCAAAGTGCTCCACTTAGGAAGGAACAATCAGTTCCATACATACAAGATGGGAAGCGACTGTCTAGGAAGGAGCATGGCGGAAAGGGATCTAGGGGTCATAGTGGACCACAAGTTGAATATGAGTCAACAGTGTGATGCTGTTGCAACCTAGAATCATATTTGCTTTTTTTGCATCAACAGGTGTGTTGTAAGCAAAACTCGTGAAGTCATTCTGCCGCTCTACTCTGCACTAGTTAGGCCTCAGCTGGAGTACTGTGTCCAGTTCTGGGCGCCACATTTCAAGAAAGATGTGGAGAAATTGGAAAGGGTACAGAGAAGAGCGACAAGAATGATTAAAGGTTTAGAGAACATGACCTATGAAGCCAGGCTTCATGAACTGGGCTTGTTTAGTTTGGAAAAAAGAAGATTAAGGGGGGACATGATAGCGGTTTTCAAATATCTAAAAGGGTGTCACAAGGAGGAAGAAGAAAATTTGTTCCTCTTGGTTTCTGAGGACAGGACAAGGAGTAATGGGCTTAAAGTGCAGCAGGGGAGGTTTAGATTGGACATTAGGAAAAAATTCCTAACGGTCAGGGTGGTCAAATATTGGAATAAATTGCCAAGGGAGGTGGTGGAATCTCCCTCTCTGGAGATATTTAAGAACAGGTTAGATAGACATCTGTCAGGGATGGTGTAGACGGAGCTTGGTCCTGCCTTGAGGGCGGGGGGCTGGACTCAATGACCTCTTGAGGTCCCTTCCAGTCCTATTATTCTATGATTCTATGTTTGAGATCAGGGCAGTCCTAGGGATAGGTTAAGCAGGCTGCTACCTATCCCATCTCAGAAGATGGGATCATATCCTCCAGGAAGCCCATGTAACTGGATGATGAAATAGCACCAGGATGGTCAGACTCTGCAGTGGGCCAACTCCAATCCACTCCTCAGCCAGGAAGAGGGTGGGCTGCAAACTCCTGCTTCAGAAATGTTCCCTTATTTCTGCTCCTTTCTGTGCAGCAGGCACCATTAGGCCTCAGAGCTGCCCCAGGCTCCATTATGCCGGGGGAGGAAGGGTGACTAAAGCAGACAGACAGAAGGGGGGTGATCTTAGTACTAGCCCATGGGAGGAGGAAGGAAGCTGTGAGGGAGCACTGCTCACCCAGGGAGACAAAGGGGAACATCTGCAGCTTCTAGCAGAAGTGGGGGGAGCTGGGCTTTCCTCCTGCCCCCCCCCCCCACAAGACTGTCATGGCACTTCGCTGAAGGAGCGCTAGAGCCAAGAAGAAGGGATTCTCGGGCCTATCTGGGAAGGGAATGCCAACTGCAGACCTCTGAACAGAAATAGAGGCACCTTTCAGAGGAAGGAAGGATTGGGTCTTGTGGAACTGGAGGGAAACAAAGAATCGTTATGGGGAAAGGGCACCAGTTTCCATTGCTAGTCTGTCACTTTCATTTACCACAAAAACGGCAAACATCCAGTCAACACCATTGCTATATAGAGATGACCTCAGCTAGGCATTTACCTGAATTGTAACCATTTATTGTTTTAAATCCTTTGGCTGGTTTGTGTGTTTTTAATTTTAGGCCAAGGTTTCCTTAAACCGTTTGGCTGCCTTTCTTAGTCTTGAAGAATTGGATCCAAATAACATGAGCAGAGCTACCTCGGACCACTGTAAGCATCGACCTCAGCGAGACGTGCCTAGCACTCAGCTTCCATTAGCATTAACTACACAGAGCACAGGGAGGATGCACCATGTGAAACGTAGCTGTGTTTCCATTATCACCACCAGTTGCATTAAGTTCTCTCACCTGTAGGTTATCAGGCTCTGATTAGACAGATGAAAATTGTTACCCTCCATGTGTATTTTCTTTCTCCCATTGCTGTCAGTTAAATTTCTAAGAGGCAGATCAAGAGAAGAGGTGATAGTGTTAACATTATAATAGTCTTAATTATAATTTCCTAGAATGCAGCTGTTAGCTAAGGGTCACAGAATAACTCAAGTAATTGGTGAGGGACCTGAAGGCCACATTCTCAGCTAACGTAAATCAGGATAGCTAGCCAGCTTCGGACCAGGCCACAAAATCTTGTCTTTAAGTCACTAAGACAAATCTAGCTACCAGCTGATCTTGGCCAAAAGTCACCTTCTCTTTTGGTTTGGTGATCCTGCTCTAGCAGCTAGTGTAAATGCATTCTACTTTGTGCATGCATTGTAGTGGTTATTAAATTATATTTATCCTTTTTAAGCCATGGAGAACACTAGTGATTTACTGCATTACAGTAAATAATGCTGCCAACACAATGTTTTTAAAAAGGTACACCTACGTCCTCATCTAAATAAGCTTGTGTGCCTTTCATGTCTCCTACTGTGTTAGTACAGGATCGTATCACTGTAAGGAATGGCACATTCACTTGGTGCAGAGGAAGCTCTCCTTGCCTTAAAAGGTACAGGCTTTTATTTCAAATAGATAAGTATTCACAGTGATTCAGAGCTCATTATCAGTGCTGATCAGCAACCCTGCTGAGTGATTTCAGTGAGATCAGGATAGGAGAGTTAGAGGGATTTCTGAGCTAGATTTCCTACACTGTGTTTTTTCTAAACATAAATCAGATTAAATTACAAAATCAAACAGTGCAGGGCATTTATTGTACATGTCGAATCCAAATGTTAGCACACTCGTAGGATGTCCAAGTTCTGTATTTGGATTCTTATTTGCGCGTCAGTCTGCCCAAACACCCACTTGTCCAAATGTTGACTTCAGGTGTCTTAGGCTATGTCTACACTGCAGAGTTTTTCAGAAAAACAGCCGTGTTTCTGAAAAAAACTTCACTTATGTTCACACTGCAACCACATTCTTTTGAAAGACAATCAAAAGAACAGAGGGCTTTTTCTGACATTGGTAATCCTCATTCTACGAGGAAGAAGCCTTTTTCTGAAAGAGCTGTTTTGGAAAAAGGCATGTGTGGACAGGGAAGAGGGAGTTCTTTTGAAAGAAGAGGAAAGAGAAAAAAGCCCAGGTGCCCTGGTGGGCCACTCCATCCATAGTAATCACAGCTTACATGCGAGACAGCGTCCATTCAGTTTGGACGCTATCTTTCGAAAAAGCAGATCACTTTTTCGATGCACTTTGGCAGTGTGGACGCTCTTTTTCAGAAGAAGTTTTTTGGGAAGATCTCTTCTGGAAAAGCTTTTTCTAAAAGAAGCCTGCAGTTTAGATGTAGCCTTAATAAAACTGCATGCTAAACAATCTGTTCTACCTTGCATTGAGCTGTGATACTCAGGCCAAGTCTACACTGGTACTTTACAGCTTTGTAACTATCTGGTTTAGGGGTATGAAAAAACCAGCACCCCTCAACTCGGGGTGTCCAACATGCTAGCTGAATCATCTTTTCTCTTTAATAAGATAGCTTCCTTTGAAAACTGGAACAAATCTATATTTCCTTTACATTTTATGCCATTCCATGTACTGACCTCACAATCCACAGCAATTCCAGAAATGGATGAGATTATAAAACGCATGTACAAAAAGTTGAGTACACAGTGGAAGAGGGGGCTACAGGAATCTGACAATCACTGTGATGGGCTCAAGTCACAAATTTGGATCAGCATCTTGGTTTTGAGCATGCTGAAGCCAAGGATATTAAGATCCAATACTTTGGCTTAGACCAACATAAATAGATGGGCCAGTTTCAACATTCAGATCTAGATTTCAAATAGCCACGAACAGGGTTTAGATCTGGAGGTTTGTTTAGAAGAGCCCACCTCTAGATGATAAAAAGCCACAGTGAGGAGGAGAACTGCATAATGGTGTCCTGGGCAGAGGGAGATTTGATGGGATGAGCTTTGAGCTGTCAGAAAAAAGGGAAGTGTAGCAGAAAGAGGTAGTTTTATTATCCCATATAACAGGGATAACAGACGACGGACAGAAGGAAGTGGGAGCAACTTTTTTCTTCTTTCTTTAATAGCAAAAATGGTGCTAGTTTCTCTTGCAAACACTGAATCTAAAAAGGTACCGATTGCGCTAACTTAGGGAGATATGGGACTGTCTCTTTGCAGGATAAATCTAACTGTACCCCAAGGCTGCCTGTTTGCTGTGGTTGGCCAGGTGGGAGCTGGAAAATCTTCCTTGCTGTCTGCGTTACTTGGTGAGCTGCAGAAGTTGGATGGCTACGCAGCTATTAAGGTAACACTCTCCCTGAGTGTTTGCTTCTGATTAGCGCATATGAGACATTACCATGCCGACAAAACTGCACTTTGAGTCCCTGCTATTTGGTGAAAACCCACTTCTGCCAAACTTTGAGGGAAGACGGGCAGCTAAGCAAGGAGCTCTGAGCTGGATGCAAGTTTATCTCTTGTTCTGTGTCAGTGATTTGGGCAATGACCTGGGACTGGGGAGGGGGAGCTGCATGACATTCTGTAAAAACTTGGGTGAGTCCTTTCAATTTTCTGTGCCTTGGTTTCCCCATTTGTAGAAAGGGTCTAATGACACTTTCCTTACTTTCTGAAGTGCTTTGGAGGGTCTCTGGGGAAATAGCACTTATTGCTATTTGGGATCATAGTTTTGCATTACACCATGGCAGTAAGGTAAATCTAGAGAGGTGATCAGAAAACACCAGATTTCTGCTCTAGGGACTCCTTTTTTTTTCCCCTATCTCTGAGACAGGCTTACTAGTGATTTTACTCATTTCCAATTTATTTAGGGAACGGTAGCTTATGTCCCCCAACAAGACTGGATACAAAATGCTTCTGTGGAAGAGAATATTGTCTTTGGAGAAGAGATGGATGAAAGCTGGTATAACAGAGTGATTGATGCTTGTGCACTGCAGCCAGACCTCAAGAGCTTCCCTGCAGGAAGTAAAAGTGAAATAGGAGAGAAGGTATTTGATGAGTTACTATCTCCAGAGAAGCTTTCTGTGCCTGCCTAGTAACACCTGGGATGCCTACTAACTGGAAACAGCTGCTCAGCACTTGCTGAAAAATTAGTGGATTTAAAGGAGTCATACTGGCTACCTGAAAATTACAGCACCTCCCAAGTAGGAGAAATGGTTGAAAATGGAGGCCAAAATAAATAACTCCAAGCCATTATAGGGTCCCTTCCTGCATGGCTGCAGAGCTGGCTGATTCTCCCATTAGTAATGAAAGCACTTCTGGGCAGAAAAGGGTATATAGTCTACATGGTAAATGATAAAAGGCCATTAAACTAATTAAGTCTCATTGTAAGATAGTGAAAAGGGTCAAAACACATCCCAGAACATGTGAAATACATCATTGTATTTTAATAGGGAATAAACATATCTGGAGGGCAGAAACAGAGAGTGAGTCTAGCTCGTGCTGTGTACAAGAAGGCAGCTGTTTACCTGCTGGATGACCCCCTTTCAGCTGTGGATGCCCAGGTTGGACAGCATATTTTTGAACACATCATTGGACCCAATGGTTTACTGAAGGGCACGGTATGTAAGCAAATTAGTATTTCTCCCATTATCTACTGTATATTTGAGAGAGTTTGCCTGTCCATTCAAGAACTCCTCCTAAATGGAAAAAGCTAGGACCACCAAATTTGGTATGCAGCTTCCTCTTATAACTTAAAGCAAGGTCAGGGTTGGTAGTGCCAGGACAATGGGATGTGCCTGGAATGTGATAGTATCTCATAAAATGGAAAGGGAAGGGTCTGCTAGCAGGGAGAATTATACTATATAATGACCACAGGGGCAGCAAGGAACCAGAAATGCGGACTGGGACAGCTATAATCCTATTGGGGCAGCAGGGGCCAGGAGTGGAGAAAGGGATAGCTTATCTACTATATATCTGCAAGAGTTTGTCTGTCTCTATGTCTGTCTGTCCCCCAGCCAGGGGAC